ATGTTCGGACGTTTTTCTTTTGCCACCGGAGGTTACCTAAAAAGAATTCTTTAAAAGCTCTCGAAAAGTTGGAAAATCAACTTTGAAAGTTTACTTCATCACAATACAACTATATCCAGAAAATCCAGAAAATTAAAAAATGTAATATAATTGTTTTTTTAAGAGTTAATCCTTGTTTCTTTGTTTACATTAACGATAATAATAAAAAAAATGAAACATGTGAAATTGTCGGTAAAATTTCATTAAAACAAAACAGCCACATCGATTACAAGTTTTCGGGCTGTGTTAAATAAAGTTTACTAAAATACATTTAAATATAAAAAGGTATTTTTTTTTCTATCATCCGAATCTCAACAAATATTTCAACAAAAAAAAAAAAAAAAAAAAATCCTTAAAACTACATATTAATTTAAAATGAAACAATTTATAAACTTAATGTTTCTTCTCTTCCTCATTGCTGTTGCGGCAGCTTTGCAAACCAGTGATCAATCGTTGGCAAACGTTTTGGATAGAAGGACGGAACCGAAAAAGTGCCCTTGCGCTTTTGCAGGATCAATTTTTGATCCATTTGTAAAGGATGCCTCGAAAGGCTCCGCAAGGGGTTTTGTTTCTTATGCCCAAGATGAGCTTGGGTGCACCATCATCTCTGGACAGTTCAGCAAAGGCTTCGAGGATAAGAATGGCACTTTTCGAATCGTTGATAAATGTGATAACCTCCTTTTTGATATCTCGAAAGAATTGGATGTGAAGTTCTCCGAGGATGGTGGCACCAAAGCTTTCAGTGTTAAGTTTGAAAATATCAACCTTAACTGTGATTCCAATGGTCTTCTTTTGGTCGAATGTAAAATTAAATCATACTACAAACGTCAAAGTGCAAGTGGTGCCTCTATGCAGGCCGGTAGTGGTTCTAGCGCCAATATTGATAGTTTGCCTTAACGCATAAGTTCCAAATTATCTCGAGAAAAATTTTCTAATGAAAATGAAGAAGATATTGACGGATTTCTGAATCATACATCACATTAAAAATATGATTTCAAAATTGTAATTTCTTTTTATTCCCATGATAAATGAATACTTTTTCTTACTTCTACTTCAAAGTGTATGAAAATTATAAATTAGAACTATATTTTCTTTATGTAAATATTTTTTTTATAATAAAATCTTATCAAATATCGTCTTATCAAATTCTCGTCATTTTCAATTGATTGGTCTCAATTGCGAGACTTTGCTCAAAATGTTATCTTGAAATGACGCGTTTCAACTTTTTACTATCAAAGAACTTGCGGAGCCGAGTCATTTTTTAATTATGATGACATGATTTGCGTCTCACAAACATCAAAAGATCTGTTTATTAATTCATCGATCTATTCGATCTTTTTCTTTTTTACTTTTAGTAAGATGTACTGGTGCTTATTCTTAATTCAACGGATACGCTTGTAAAATCTCACATAGAATCATCATACATAATCTTCTGTTTAATAGGATCTTACGTATTCATGGGATTAAATTCACCGTTAAGGATGAAATATTTCAAGAAGTTTTTGGAAATAAGTTGTGGGAATGATGAGAGCTTTAATTTAATTATTATCATTATAATTTTTTTTTTTTTTTAGTGAATAATTAACTATGCTTCTTTAAATTATCGGAATCAAAATTGAAACTTTTGGCTCGAGGTTAAAATTTTGTCATTTTTTCGCTAAAGTTTGAAATTAAATATTGGCAGATTATTATTTTTTTTCCATCGTATACAATCAAACTAGAGGTTGGAACCGGTTTTGGGTCTAAGCCGACCCGTTTGCATCCGGGTGTATGTAAAATCGATTCAAACCGAATAATCGAACATATAACCAAAGATGACACTGACAAAATAGTCCAATATAATAAAAATGTATTTCCTTAAAGTATTCGTTAAAGTTTTTTATTTGTATTACATTAGTCGAATCATTAAAATAAATTTTGTTTCAATGAAGCGCGTATATACGATAATTCATTTCGCGAGCTAACTAAGCATCACATTGCATCACATTCCATTTCCAAATATAACAACGCCACGTTTGTTTACATTTACCAATAGACTGCATTGTACATTATCAAAAAAAAAAACCTATATATTGTCAAGAATTTAAAACCAAAATTCCAAAAAAAGAATTCATTATCAAATATAGAACTAGTTTGTGCCAATCGAAGCAACTAAAAAAGATTTATGGAAACGGTTTAAACCGAATTTAAAAACGGATTGATACAACCGGTTCCCATCTCTTAAACAATACCAATTGTTCGTGTAATGAAGTAAATAAATAAAAATAAAAATAAATCATAAACATCTAAATCTTTACTGTTTTTGATTGTTTTATTGTGTTTCAATTCCTTTTCTAATTTGAAAATCATACATACATACACGTACATACATATTTATTTTTATGGGCGTTTTTACCCATCCATACATATATATATAGTTCTATATTTGTTCTATTTTTAAAAAATCAGTCATGATAAATGCTATGTTTACTTCTCCCTAATAAAAAGATTTCATTGACACTGATACTCAACAGATATTGTTGTGATTATAAGATAATAAAGATTTAATTACGATGGATATCGTAGGAACAAAAATAGTAGCACATAAAGCATTTAACCAAATGAAAATAAAATTCATGGTATTGATCCTGCATATATCATGATTCATTGGTATGACATTGTTAAAATCTGCTGGACATGTGAACGGAACCCGGTTATATAGTTGATTTATCACGAGGTGCGTATTAACAGCTTACAAAAAAAAAAAAAATAAAAACAATCAGTATAATGCGTTTTAAAATAAAAAAAAAAGAAAAGCTCTTCAATAAAATTTCATCATACCGGCAAGAACAATCCAAGCAGGAAATACAACGAAACTAAAATGTGATAAAAATATCAATTCCCAAAAAAAAAAAAAAAAAAATTGGTTTTTGCATTGCATTGATTAGTTACATACATGTTAACAAACAATAGAATGTTATATATGATTTCGATGCGTCTAATCTGCTCGTATGTTTAAAGTTGTTGATGAATAACACGAAATAGATCAAGATTGACCACTAACAATAAAAAATTTCGTTGTTTATCATCAATACGGCGTCAAAACTTGTAAAGAAAGAAAAAAAAAGATTAACTCACATTCAACTAAATTCGTGAAAAATAATAACACAAGATATCTAAAAATATAAAAAAGAAATTCAGCCGAACCGAAAATAATTAGGATCATGATCTTGTCTAATAAAAACTTACAAGGGTTGAAGGTTTATATTGGCTCTTATAAAACAAGAATTCATATTTCAAAAATGCTTAAAGAAAAGAACGAGTTTAAAAGGAATATTTTTTGATTAGTGTGAAAAAAAAAAAGAACAATTGAAAATTCGAATAAAAATTGCTTACCTAGAAAGATACACGCGTACATTAATAAACATCAAAATGTCGCCACCGTGTATATAAATCTTTTGAAAAAATTTAATCGACCGTTAATAAAGCTATTCAATTTAGAATGAAAAGGAATGTTCATTTTTTTTTTTTCGATTTATTTTTATTTTTTATTTTTATTTATTTTACAAATAGATTATTAAGTTCTTCCTTTTTCTTATATAACTAGTTTATTCACAAAAAAAAACGAAAATGATACTTCCTTTTCTTTTTATAACTAGTTTATTCATTTTAGCAAAACACGGATTCGTAATTATGTCACTTAAGCCAATGCAGTTACACATTTCATTGAGCCAAATAAAGATTTATTATGATAATAGAATTTGTGTTTGGTTTTCATCCCGGATAGGGAATTTCAATGAACAAATATGCTTTAATTACATCTATCTGACGTTACCTAACTCTTCACGAGATCATTTCAAAAAAGAAATTTCTAAAGTCTCTACATTAACTACCCAAGTATTCAATTTTTTAGGTACACGACTCGATAGGATTTTTTACAAATCATTGATACAAACGAAGTTTGCTCGCCCCCCAAACCATAATATTTCTAAATTCGAACAAGCTTTAAATAATTTCAATAAAAAACACTCGATAATCTTCTCATAATGAATAGAAAGGGTTCCTAATCTGACATGATCGATGCATAAATATTCCAATTCTTTTAAATTTTTACAATTGATCAGAAATAATCTCGAAATTCCCGTTAATTTCAATCGTTATAACGTGACCAATCAAAAGTGTTGACATGTTCTAAAATTGACTTTGAGAGATGTCATAGGAACCTTTTGCATATCGATTAACCGACAGCCCAAAACTTAATCTTTCAAATGAAACACTTCTGTGATAAGAGATACGTACATAAAATCAGAATGCCTTGATCCCTTTACAAGAAAATGACATTTGGGAGGTTTGCTAATAACAAACATAGTAAATCATATGATCCGTAACGTGATTCTAATAGATTACCTCTCATTTGATGGATAATTTTTGATGGAGATTCTTTCTACATTTCTCCATAAACATTTTAAAGTATGATCCAATAATTGATATTGATGAATTTTTTTATCCAAATTTTTTTATAGCATCATTTAAATTCTGATAATTTAGGATTTGCAAATGCGATGGATGATCGTATAATGCTCTTCGTAAACTTTTTTCCGGTAATTGCAATCCATTTGCGATAAGTGAATCTTTGGATTCTTTAATATGAAATACTTTGGTTAACGTTAAGAATCTCCTTCAATGGCAGGGATAGCCAATGAACCCCGATATCTATTCACAAGGATGCTTTCTAAATTTTTTTTATCATGGCTTGTAAACCCTTTTCTAATTCTTTAATAGTAACTGACAAAGGCGACTTGATTGCAATTATTTAAATCCTTATTTCCCGTCAAGATTTTTTTTCAAAATTACATTCACATGAAAATGAGTATACAGTTATTTATTTCTAAGGAAAGATAGTGAATTTATATATTTAATATTTTATTTTTTATTTGTCACGATCACATGATTAATTACGCCATTAATAAAATTCTCAATTTTTATTCACAATTTTCAAGATTTGCTTTTATAACTCCTTGATCAGCAAACTTTTCCAATGTCAGTTTGGCGTCTTTAGATTTCGGTTTATATATAAATTCCAAGACCCTACACAATCTGGTAGCACACGCTCGCAAAAAGATCTCCAAGGCTTCGGTCGAGATAGTATAATTTGTAACTTGTAACCTGGTTAAATTAATTGGAACGAACGGTCCGGATTGTTGCAATGCATCGCTGATATCGAAATCATGATCTTTTAGGTTCCGTAAAATCAAATATTCGAGCTTTGGACATTTTTGAAAGAATGATTGTAACGTTTCAATCCCTTCAATATGAAGTGGACCATCATATTGGTAAAGGTTCTTGCAACTATTGATCAATGTCTCAGTAAAAACTGGAAGATCCATAATATTTCCATAATTAGAAATAAATTTCAAGGATTCCAAACTTCCATGAGTATTTTTAATTAAGACATTCGATTGTGATATCGTAATCATTGAAACGAACAGTTCTTTAAGCTTTGGGAATGATGAATTCATGTAATACTTCAAATTCGTACCATCACCTTGCATGGAGGAAATTAATTTCAACCTCATTCTCTCGATATTTTTACTTTCTTTAAAATAATCCAATAAAATATCATATCCAAACAATCGCACATCCGTAACGGAATGGGATTTCTTCCTGATGGCGTTTTCGACAAGAGGAATATTCTTACTTTTCAAGTTTATCAAGATGCAATCCAAAGGAACCTCTTGAATTTCTATGAGCTTTGCCAACCCTCCATTATCCGTACAGCAACATTCTATATTAAATCTCTTGATATTCCTGCATATTTGAGCTACGAGATACATAAATTGTGAGAAAAGGCAAGCTTTACATGAAAATTCCGTGATGTTTGATAAACTTTGATCTGCGCCTGATGCAAAAGGAAGTTGTAAAAGGTAATATTCATTTAATATATATCCAGCCTTCATAAAAATACTGAATCTTTTCAGAATTTTGCACCGAGCCATAAACATTTCGTAGATAAATTCCAGCACTTGATTTTTCATTTCCTCTCGGAATATTTCATCTTCCGGGATATCATTCGCGTTCATCCAAAATCCAATCCCATTATAGAGAGATTGATAATCCAACCCCTTCAACAAGGACGGATAGTCGATAGATACCGACTTCAAAGTTGAAGAGGATAATTCTAACCCACCATCCGAGATTTGAGATTTCGAACCTTGAGGTAAGCAAGAAATATAAATTGATATCAATGGTGCGAGTCGACTTCTATTGTGTTCTTTTGAATGTAACCATTCAATCGGCTCTCTCCAAAGTATGGTAAGTCCGGCTTCACACCACTTGCGATTGACCAAGATACAAGCATGTAACGATTTAAAGCTATCATCCCACTCATTGTACGTTGGGCCAAAATTTTCAAGGATTTGTAAAAGGCATTCTGTTGGTAATTTTGATTCCATTTTTTACAAATGAACGATTGAATCGGATTTCTGAATGATTCAATTAAATATCAAAAATAATAATAATAATAATAATAATATGTAGTAATAATCTCTCTCTCCTTATTAAAGAAAGTATTATACTCTTTTTAAAACTTTATATTATATAATAAATAAATAATCTGTTTTTTTTTTTTTTTTTTTTCAACAAAGTTTTCATGGGAAAGAAAGATAAAAGCTGCGGAAGAAGGTAACCCGAGAAATCTTATCCCTATTTTGTATTTATCTTGATGTGGCGTAGTGGCGCAGTCATACAAGGTGACCCCATTGCTCGTAATCAACACATTTTTCATCCCACGTGATTTTTTGGCCGGCATCACTGAATGGCCGAAATTATCCAGTGACAAATAAGGAATTTTGGGAACGGTAACCGTTCTAGTCAGTAACAGGACATAATTTATTTTATGAAACACGCGTGACATGACATCAGCAACGCAGAATTCTATTGGGTGAACAATATGCAGGACAGAACGACATTGCGTATTTGATTGTGCTTCGGGCAACAAATTATATAGGGTCACGTGGGGTGAAAAAAGTGTTGGCGATACGATACTGCTGTTCTGTGGAAGATAATAATGGAGTGAATGCCATGTGATGTGATTGTTCCTTCCAACGAGTTTGGTTCTTTTTTATGTTAGCCCAGTGTGTACTTCCTATTCAGTATGAGATTCAAGTTTAAACACCTTTGGAAAAAACGAAATGATATTCCTAAATAACGTAAACCCATTTTATAAAAAAAAGGGCGGAATCTCATTACGGAGCAATGATGTATTTTAAATATTTAAATATTGAATTCCAAATCCAGCAAATTTTTAAACTGGTTGTTCCGTTATTCATAAGACAGGTCTGAATTTTTAATATATCTATTATTTGAATCACACAGTTTTAATATCTGTTTATATATAAGATGACCAAGTCATTCGGAACTCTTACCAAGAATTTCAATACCAAAAAAAAGTGATACAAGAATTAATTAATTGTTTATATAACGTTACGTCTCTTGTGAGATTGCTATTTCCTGACCGATCTACCTTTTTTATTTTCACCTCCATTTCTTAATTCATTCTCAAATTATGAATCGACGAAACGTACTTTTCGCTTTCCAATTTTTTGGGTTAATGTCATTAAATTTGGTTTGTCTTGGAGCTTGTAAGTAAAAATAATCTTTTATGTTTAATCACCGCAGATGACGAATTTATGTTTACGATATGAAATTTTTAGTCATTGCGAAGTATATATACTTACGACAACTTGAATTTCAAATTCCGTTGAACAAGCTTGAATACGCTTATCTGGGATTGATAATGGGAACCCTTCTAAAGGATGGTAAAGCAATCTTTTTTTATTTTCAGAATTTTTTTTCTTTTCTTTCCTTTTCTTGAACGTTATCTTTGAAATTTGAATAGTCACGTTCACTTGCGCGATGCTCAGGGGATCCATGAACGTTTTGCATCCGAGAAAACAAATCATATCACATAGTCTTTTATTGATAGCTTGGATGGTTATTACAGGTAAAATAAATTAAAAATTAATTTTGAAAAATTTCACAAGACAGAAATTCAAAATGAAAAATCTTTGTTCGTTTTTATAGGTTTATATACAAAGTTTGAATTAAATCAAAAGCTTCCATTGATGTGCCCATCAAATTTCGATTATGAAAAAAAAGAATTCATGACAGCTTGCAAGTTTCGTCGATTAAGTATGATCATGATGTGGTTGTACGCAGGAGCATTCGGATTATCAGTATTAAGTGTGTGGATATGTTTTAAAAATATGTCGGAAGATTATGATGAACCGAATTCATCATCACCACCAAGGACGACGACGGATGAGGAGAAATTTCAATTCGCCCCCAAACTTTCAAAGAATAATTTTATTTCTCCAATTTCATCGTAATCATCATAGCAGGCGTTTGTAACGCCATCATTTTAGCTCAAAGTAGTTTGATAAAAAATTAATAAATTAAAAATTTGTGCAAAATGGTTTAAATTTGTTTAACCACATGGTTACGCGTAACATTAAACAAAGACCAATGATATTCGTTGAGTAGCACGTGTTGATCATGATTGTTTTCTTTAGGATCTGACAATTATTTCCTTTTACGAGCTTCATTGGCGTCATTACAAGACCATAAAGCCTCAAGTCTTATTTGCATAAACCAGGATATACACGAAAGACATACAAATGTGTACCTATAATGATTTTAATGATTTTATGATTTATGCACTCCAACAATCAAAGAAACAGGTTTACGTTTTTACAATGGTGAAAAAATATTCGCAATAAGATAATATAATTCAAAAATCAAGAAAAATAAAAAAGGAGCGTCAAAATCACACGCGAAGAATACTTTTAGACAACAAAAGAATCGGTAATCAATAATGAATGGTCTGTTTGATAAAATAAGCTACGGACTAACCCTTTTTCCCGTTTATTTTCTTACCCTTGGCGGCGTGATCAATAAATAGAACGATTTTTTTTAAAACGATTTAACCGGTAAATCTCAATTTTCGAAATTCTCTGTTATAGTGCCGGCCCCCGGTTCATGATTACATCATCCTTAGCTACTGATTAATAGGTTACTTCCATTTGTGTCTTTATTTACCTGAATATAACATGCCAAAGACCAATTCGGATAGAAAACCCGATTATTATGGAAATCAAAAGCTTAAAAAACCGAAAATAAGAAATTCTGTCATCAAAAAAAACAAAATCAAAATGGCAAAAATTTTTCATCACAATAATAAATAATATAAAAAAATCGTCCGATTAATGGTCAATCATATTTATTATTATTTATTTACGTTACATATATTTTCTGAAACGTGAAATCAAAAAAATTTCATAAACACATACATATAAATAATATAATAAAATTATATATATAAAAAAGGAAACCAAAAGAGAAAAGAGAAAAAGAAAATTATTATTTATTTTTTTGATTATTTTTATTTTCTTTTAAAGCCCCCCCTTCACCTTCCTTTTTTTTTTTTCTTTTTTTTTTTCTTTTTTTTTTTTTTTTGAAAAATAATTTTTTTTTTTCTTTGTTCCCGTGAAATGACTTGAATGAACAATGAATTTCGAAATTATGTTTCGGCCCTTTTTATACACACTTCGGATATTACAATGCGCTAGTAGTTTGACATGTTTCATTTTGGGTATGTGCGACTTGTTGTGTGATAGTTTCGTTTAGAAATTATTGTTAAAACGTAACTTATTTCATTAAATTACCATATAAAGAAATCTTTAGAATTGTTGGCGTTATATATTTCATCGATACAGGATATAAAAAGTAAGCATGAGATACTTTTAAATGAGCAATAACGAGCATTAAAGGTTCAAATATTAATGATATGTTTTTTTTATTTTTCCTTTCTTTTAACAAGCAAAGTTGAATTGTTATTTGAATATTTGGTAATGAACCTAGGGTTAATTATGAGCGGTAATTTATCACATCGTATATATATAGATATAATTTTTGAATTAACGTTGCGAAAATAACTCTTAAAATTTAAACTTAGTCCTTCATGTATTTCGATTTCATCAACGATGGAGAGGAGGGTCGCGTAAATACGAGATTATGTTAGATTGGTATTTATTAAAAAATTTTATATTTCTCTCTCATTTTTCAAATAATCTAACCTTTAAACCGTAAAAATAATCCATCTAGCATATTGATGAATGCATGGATGATCTTTGGTTTGTTACGACTATCTCCACAATTCAACAATTCAAGTTTCTTAACCTGCAGCTCAATTGAACCTTATCATCAGCGTCAAGGTTGCATAACTTACCTAGTAACGTTGATAATTGGATTTTTCATTTCCGCGTTGTACATTCTCTCATCGATCTTAACCGCATGGTTATGGACAAGATCATCCTCAGCCACCAACACGAACCCTAACCCTAACCAATCCAACCTCGACAGCGAATCCTCAAAGTCATCATTATCATTAACTCTATCGAAATTGAATCAAATAAGGAATTCGCAAATTGTCAACGATTTCTCGGAATTCCAAGATGGTGAATTTAGACATTCTGAAATACACGCAGAAATGTCGTTAAAAGAATTTGTTGAACTTAATAAACGTTTCTCTCATTTATTTAACGATGGGTCAGAATTTAATGGGACGGATGGCACGATCGTAATTTTTCGTAGGCCTTCCCCTTCTTATCTTCGTTACGAACAATCCTCTCGTAATAATTCATTATGTGAGAGTTATTTGGAAGCCAACAGAAGGAAATACATGTCCGAATATAGTTTGGATAGTTCATTTAGTAGAACTTATGGTTCGATAATAATTCCGCGTAAATATTTACCAAGTACCGCACGTAGCGAAACTGATAGTACAAATAGCATGCTTAGTAGGTGCGATGGGTCCATCTTAGTGGGTAGAAATCAAATCACTTCCACTTATAGTGATAATAGCAGTAAGCGTTTATCATCAGCATTTAGCGATCAAACTACTAGTAGTAAATACGATGGTTCAATCATTATAAAATTAGTCGAATAATTTTTTATTTTAGTTTTTTTTTTTATATTAATTTTAATTTTGGTTTTTTTTTTTTTTTTGTCTTTTTTTTTTTTTTTCAATAATATTAAAAAAAAAAAAAAAAAAAAAAAAAAAAAATTAACAAATGTAATAATCACTGGCAAAATCATTAGATCCAAACGTACAAACACCTTTCAAACTATACCTATATAAAATCAAATCATGATCACTCGTTGTATTATCAAGATTAAAATCCAATTTCGTCTTTAACCTCTTTGAGCAATAAAATAAAAAGGCTTCCAACGCTTCCGCAGAAACATCCCAAGTGTGATTTATCACGAATTTTTGTAAGCTCAAGGGAACAATTTCCCCAAGTTTGGAAAAGATGTCACTAATATCATATATGAACCCTTCCTCCTCTTCCTTACTAAGTATGTGCAACACTTCCAATTTTTGACAACTTTGAAACAAAAGTGGTAAGTAATGAATTGACTCATGAGAGAAAGGAGCTTCGTAGTAATTTAAGTTCTTCCCATATTGTATCACGGTTTCTGCAAGCAAGGTTAAATTTTCCACGTCTGGAGGTTCTGACCATAATATTAGGATCGATTCAAAAACTCCTCCCGTATTTCTAATCAATGTGCAAAGTTGTTTCAAGGTTATGACTTTTAACGAGATCTCTAATTCCCTTAATTGAGTGAATTTCGAATTGACGAATTTCTCCATGGATTTTCGATCCACGGTTATGGTATTGGTGGTAGGGTAAATGAACAAGTGTTGTAAATCATGGCTCGTACTAAACGTATCCATCATTGAACAATGTCCATGAATCCACAAATCTCTGACCGAATGAACCCGTTTCCTTAAGGCTCTTCCTAAAAATGGAAAGTTCCCACTCTTCGTAGCCTTAATGAAGATATACTTTAAAGGAACTTTCTGTGATTCGATGAGCGTCGCCAACCCTTTATTATCTTTACAACAGCAAAATATTTGAAATTCTGAGATATATTTACAAATCTTTGCCGCCGCAAACATGATCTCGGGCATCGTGCACCCTTCACACATGAACGTGGTCAAATTGGCCAAACAGATATTCGCATTTGGTAAAGTGGTTAAGGGTAAAATAAAATCCACCTTTGCCCCTTTGGAAAAGTGAAGCCTTTTTAAATGACATTTATCCATGAAAAGTTTGGAGAGTGAATTAAATACCTGAAAGACTTTATACGTAACATTTAATTTGTTTAATTCCCTGAGTTGTCTTGTAATTTTTAACCATCCATTTATTGATTTATATAAAGTTCCATAATCGAGACTTTGTAAGAATTTTGGGTAATCAAATAAAGGGTTGGAGTAATTTAAAGGCAAGTTGATCCCATCTTGAATGAGGTTTGATTTGACCTCTTGGGGTAAGCATGAAAGGTAAGTTGACACTATCGAGCTGAGTCGATCCTCGTTACGACTTGTGCCAACGCTAAAGTGAATCCAATCTAAAGGTTCCCTCCAAAGGATCGAAACCGCTGTAATGCACCATTCTCGATCGACTAATATACACTTATGTAATAATTTGTAATCTTCATTCCAAAAATGATATTCCGGACTAAAATTTTCGAAAATCTTTAACAAACACTCCGTAGGTAACCTTACGTTCGTCATTGTCTAACGAATAATTGAATTAATATATTTTATTTTTATGTTTATTTTTTTTTTTTTTTCGACTTAATAAGAAGGGAAGAGAGAGAAGAAATAGGAACTTACCCGGTTACAAACTTGTCTTTTATACCATTGTAGCGTTACGCAAATCATGCGAGTTAATGAAGTTGATCAACACGTTTTGAAAGTCTTATTAGCTTGATTAGCTTAATTCGATAAGGGGCTTGCTAAAATTATTGGTTCAAAGTCAACCAATAAAATCAAAAAATATGCGAGTCGCGAAACGCGAAATGTATATATTGTTAATTCAAAATATCAATTTCAGCAATTCCTCAACCGTAAAAAAAAAGTGGTTGGGAGTCGGAAATTATTATAGTAGTACCTGCTTAAAGATAATCGAGACATTTTTTTAATTTTGCATTATTTTTTTGGGGGGGTGAAAGGGAGGCGAAAAGATTTGCAACAGGATGGGAGCGATCGACGGGGAAATTAATAAAATTACAAATTGCTTTGAATTGATTTTAAATAAAGGTTTGTGATACCGAAAGGTGTCTGAACTAAATTACGACGCATGGAAAAACGATAATATAAAGAAATCCCGATTTTTTTTTTTTTGATTCTATCTAGAAAAGAGGATTTATAAGGAAGTTTTATAATCTTTGGGCGAATCTTGCCGATCGTATTCATTTTCGACGCCTTTCTATCAAAAGTTTTTGCGATAAAATAATGATATAATTATTTAGGGAAATCTTTTATATTTCAAACATGTGACAATATCAACGAATCTAACTATTTCCGATAACATTTATAACTGTTTATACTGCCATTTTTTCATAACTTACATTCTGCAAATCATGGTCGCATGAACCCAATATAAGACATGTTCATTCATTCTTTCAAGTTTTTCTTTTCAACAAAAAGCAAAGAAAAAATATAGAGTGCTCTACCCGTAAACTCCTCATTCTTTTTTTTTTTTTTTTTTATTTTTTTTTTAAAAAAAAAAAATTCTCGATTAAATAAAATAAATAATAACTTGACATTTAACTCTTTGATAGAAATACAAATGTCTGAACATCATTTTTTCAATGGTTATGATTATGCCGATGAAGGAATTACTGAAGAAACCAATGAATTGATGAATGAAGATGAGGAAGAGAACACTTACATGAATTTTGATCCCGAAAAAATAACCCCAGAATATCATATTCAACAGGCTGAGCAAGCCTTGACAAAATTAAAGTCCATCATTGAAGAGGCTGACTGGAAAAAGGTTCTTCACATTAAATCAGGTGTCGCCGTTTTCAGTAAAAATGAGAATGGCGACGATGAAAAGTTACCTATATTTATGAGTGAACATATTATTGAGAACTTTACTCCCCATGCGATTTTCGCCGTCGTTGGAATGAGGAAACTCTGGGACCCATGGTAAGCAAATTTTTATCCATGTGACGAATACACTTATTCACGTGATGAAGTCGATAAATAAACTAACGAGTTTACCACGATAAACCAGGTACGAGGAGGGCAACCTCGTTGAAAATTTAGATAGTACGACAAGCTTAACCTATATGACCATGCAAGTATTGGCTGGTACCAGGTAGTTAATTGATTTTTTATTTGATTTATCGGTTGAGACTATGTATCATTGCATTCTTTCTAATACCGTTCATTTCAATCCTTTCACTAATATAGAACTAGGGATTTATGTTTGGTGGAAAAAATTGAATACACTACAGATGGAACAATCTATTTTGCTGCTACCTCAGTTCAAACTCCAAAAGTACCTCGGGTTTCGGAGAGAATTCGTGCTCACCTAAACCTCAATGGTTGGGTTATTCAGCCAATTTCTCAAAATCCGCTTCGTACAAAAATTACTTATGTACTTCAGAGCAAAGCTGGAGGTTGGGTTCCTTCGGTAGTATCTAGAAGATATTTAATAAGACGTCCACTTGTTATCTACGCCATCGATCAATATTTACAAAAGAATGGCCCCACTCCTGTGACAGTCAGTAGTGCTACGAATTCAAATCGTCCTTCCCGTAGACCTAGTATTGCTTCATCGTTTAATAGTGTGAATGTCGTTCATAAAGATTTGAAACATAATGTCTCAAAAGATAGAATAGAATCACATAATAAATCATATAACAGACAAATTGTTCCTCCAACATATTCCCCTCGAACAATAAAACGAGATACGATAGAAGAGATTCCAGATAATTCATATGATAATGATGTAATCAAACATTTTTCATCTCCAGATACGCCTGAAAGTCAAAACTCACCAACACTAGCAACCACACCCCGCCGGCCTATCAACAAAAAACCGACAACTCCTCCTACTTCATCCTTACGGTCTCAAACTTCACTAACTTCACTCAATGGTAAAAGGAAAAAATCTGTACCATCACCACTATATTTACGTGATGATAGAAAGGAAACTTTCGTATCACCTCAACCAGCGCAAAAAAAGCATCGATATAAGAATGTCATAACTAAAGCTATTGCGCAATTCAAGGAAAATGTAAATTCCATGGATGGTTGGCTTTTTTATAACGAAAGCAAAGGTGTTAAAATTTACACGAAAGATGTTGAAGGTAGATCATTTCCAATAATTCGTGGAGATTATACACTTTCTGGTGGGTTCACCGCTTTTGATTGTTTGTCGGTTCTCAAAAACTTATCATTACGAAAATCATGTAAGTGATTTTTCTTTTCATTCCAATTTCATATTTTCATTTTTTTTTTTACAATTGTAAAAATTTTCAATTAAGTTTAACACCGTATATAATAGGGGATGATCGTTTCGATGGTGGTGAAAATATAGAAAACCTAAGTAATACCGAGAACCTTAGCAGAGTTTCAATGAAGGGAACGTTTCCTATCAGGTAAGATTTAATAAAATTTCCTTTAAATGACCATTTCCTTTTTTAAAAAAATTGTATCTCAACATTTTCGTAGTGGTCGTGATTTTGCTTTATTCGGAACGGTTGAACATGATCCAGAAACCGGTAAAATTGTTTACGTTACGACTTCAATAATTGACTCGGCAATCCCTGAAGTGAAGAAATACGTTCGCGCTCATATCACCTTTGCCGGGTGGCAGATGGTTCCAAACTTTGATTATAAAGGAAAAACGGAAACATTAAGTCTTATTTATATTGTTGATAGTGATGTAAAAATTGATTCCATCCCAACTTCTATCCTTAAATCTCTCTCAACTGGGACTCCAATGGTCATTCAAAAGATCGACGAGATGTTACACGATATCGGATTCCCGCCTTATGTATTAAAATCTACCTCTTTGATCATATCAGAGGATCTTGACCCAAATACTTTTCAAGGTGAATTGTCGCTTGTCGCTGAAAGTAATAGCGTTACAGAAATTCGCTTCTCCAGAAAAATGTATCCAAATGGGTTTATTTTAACGGTTAACCCCGACAGTGCAAAGGTTGAATTACTTCCGGACAATTCGGATACCATTCGATTGACGCTTCCCTCAAAAGTTGACACAAAAAAATTACATATTACGATCACGAAAAGCACATCTCGAGGTTTTAAATTGACTTATAATGAAGGCAAAGTAATTAATGAGGTTCCAAAAGATACTAATAATGAAGTTGGCGCAATTCCTGTGACAAAATCTCGAAAGGCAAACAATGAAATCAAAACGGTGATAGAACCAGAATCAGTATCAGTATCAGAACCAGAACAAGAACTAGAACCAGAACCAGAACCAGAACAAGAACCAGAACTAGAACCGGAACAAGAATTTGAACCAGCACCAGAACCAGAAGAATCAGAACCGGAACCGGAACCGGAACCAGTGCCAGAACCAGTGACGACAAGGCGTCCTAAACCAAAAGAAATCATAAAAAATATCACAAAACGTTCGGAAGGACCCCCTCAACCCGAAGAACCCGTAATACTAACGCATCAGACACGTCTGGCTCATTCTACTAATTCTTCTGCAAATTCCACACTTGTTGCGAATAGAAGAAATATTGTCATTAATGCATTAAACGATCAGTTAACAGATAATAATGAAGATTTAAGTCGGATCCCAGCAATAAATACAAGAAGAATTGTTTCACCAGATACATTTCAATTCAAAGAAGGTAATTAGTAATTTTGATTAGCAGATTTATTTATACGCTCAATTGAATTTAAATTATTTAATTTTCAATTTTTAGTACATATACAAGATTCACAAGATTCACAAGATTTACAAAAAACGTATCAACGATTAGACGGAAAATACGAAAAACTAGAGGATGAAACAGAAAAACATGTTGAGTCCCTTGAAAAATACAAAAGAAATAGCGATAACAATGAAATATTCATCATTTCTGAAAACGTGAAATTCAATCTACAAGAAATTTGTTTGATGTTTGCAGCAATGTTGTTATCATATTATGCCGGAAAGGTTAGCGTTTATCTTGAAATTTAGGTGGAAGGTTAGCAGTGATTTATGGAAAATAATAAATATATTACAATATAATAATCATATAATAATAATAATAATAATTAATTAAGATAATGATAATGATAATGAGATAATAAATGGCAGAAGTTTATTTATCATATATTTTATTTGTGGTGGATTAAAATTTTTTTTATTTATTTTATTTTATTTTTTTTTTTTTTTTTTAACATTTATTTCATAAAAATACATATTTTTATAATATATACACATAATATACATAATATAATTATTTACATAAATAAATTTCGGAATCCTGGACTTAAATATTCTCGCTTAATTATTTAACCTTTTTTCTTTCTTTCTTTCTTTTTTTTTGTTCGATAAAAACAAAAAACAATGTCTTAAATCTATATAAAAGCTTTTTTGTTGGACAAAATAAAATGAAAATAATTAAAAATAAATTACAAAATAATTTTGTGTTCTTAATATCGAAATACTAAATTAATTCTTATAAAAATATTTACATAGGGAAATAAAATAAACTTAAATGATTATATAATTAAATGGGAAGGTTTTTTTTATGTACAATAGATTATGAGGAATCATATATACTTTTTTTTTCGTCTTACTGAAATGAATTGTTAAATATATTTTACATGATTTTTATGCAATCATTGAAATCTTAAATGTCGAATCCTGTGCTACTTGAAACAATCTTAAATCATAATTTTCTTTTCCAACTTCATAAATAATTATCTTTAAAAGAAAAGGGAAGCTAGTATTGACACAATTCCTTTTTAGGAATCAGGTGCAACCCATATTTATCTCTCAAGATTTTAAGTTCTCTTAAAGTCCTCCAACTCAATTTTGCTTGTCCTCCAATTCCCAAAACTTTTAAAGTTCCACTCTTTTTAACAAACTCACTAATTAATTCCATATGAGAATAATTAAAGTTCGAATCATTAATAATCAAGGTGGATAATTGAGGGGTTGCTTCTTCATTATGCAAGTTCAAAAATCTTTTAAGTTGTTGAATGGGCAGGTCACATTCTAATTTTAGATATCTCAGGGTATCGGGTAAATCGTAAGCGTCAATTCGTGGACGTTGAATCATCTTTTTATAGTGATGTTGTTGTTGTTGGCTAATTGAAATGCTCAGATTTTCTAACCTTTTTAATCCATGAAATAACTTAAATAGCCAAGGATTTTCCCACGGATAATAAGAGTCAACAATTTGTAAATCAAGTAAATCCTCACAACATGTCAAGATTGCATGAACCGTTTCGGCTGTGATAACATTTAATCCCAGTTGTTTCAACGAATTCCCAATTTTATCCAGAAAGGCCAAAGTAAGGTCCTGATCATCCGAACCCAGTTGTAACCTGGTTAAATTTGGAAATTCACCACTCAATAGGATTTTACAAGAGGTTGAACCCAAACCAGAACAATACCAAATTTTCAAATAATTTAAATTTTTAAATTTCGCCAATGAACTTAAAGAACATTCGGTGAAATGAACATTCTCGAATTTGACGATGGTCAGGGTTTCGGTCTTTGAAAGTAAGGATGGCATTAAATCTTCAACGCAATGATGTCCAGTTATGCCAAACTCCTCTAAACATGACTGTTCCTTAATGATGTTCCCAATTGATTGAATGATGTTAAATTTATATTCAAAGGTGGAAATTTTAATTTCCATTGACGTGATCCTGGTACAAAATTTTGGCATGATCCCGAGGAAATTATTTAAATTATCACTGATGGGTTTCTCACAATCAATTTGAAATTTGGTGAGATTCGATAAGATGATTATAGATTGAGTTCTAGACGAGGTTAGAATGTCTGGAATATCTAACCGACGAAAGTGTTGATCGATCTTGAAGGATCTTAAATTTCCGGCCTGACTTATAAAAAGTTTATAAATTGACGAAGATAAATAATAGATGATCTCCTCCTTAAAATCGATGTTATGATCTCTATTATGCCATTCACGAAGGAAAAATGAAACGCCCAATTCCAATCGTTTATAAGAAAATTCTTCCAGGAATGAAGTGTAATCGAATAAAGGTTTTACGGGAATTGAAAGGGACATGTTATAATGCTTTAAATGAGAATTCAAGAAATTCAATTCATTATGATCGAGACAAGCAAGGTACATTCTTATCAATTTAAAATAATCTTTGGAAGATTCTAAACCTTTAAATGGATTCGACCATAACAAAGGTAAAACATTTTTACACCAATATTTATTTACGAGAAGGCAAGAAAACAATTCTTCTTTTGAATCAACATGTGAAAAGATTCGTTTCATACATCCCGATGGTAAACTTGGAGTAGGATTCTTTGAAGAGTTGGAAGGCTTACTCTTCAACAATTTGACTAACGTGTCAAAGCAATAACAATATGGCATCCTTTTTTTTTTTTTTCTTTTTTTTTTTTTTAAAGAAAAAAAAAAAAAAAAAATGTTGTATCCTTTGGTCGGTTGTACGATAATATTTTTTGATAAAAGGTGAAATATTTATACGATCCGAGGTGGTACGAAGATTGTTCGTCATCTGTTGTTTGTTCCATGCAAAGGTTTTGTTAAAAATATTAAAAAAAAATCATTCAAACAATAATCATTATAACCATTGTTTTCGATCATGTATTCCACTTAAAAATAGAACGGTTTGTTGCAGATCATGTTGGAAGTGCGCATTCAGTGTGTTATTTGGTTATGATTCACTTTTTTAGTATTTTATTGAACCAAATTTCTATGTTGTAGCATCATGAGAATCGCCTTTTAATTGATTGCCATTCACATTGCAAAAATTTAAATTATTTTTTCTTTCTTTTTTTTTTTTTTTACAATTTCCTTTGCATGACAAATTGTACGGAAAAGGTAAAATATTTAGATAATGAATGTATTAAATTGGTATAAATCTAACAATACAAATTCCAAAAAAATACTATGGATTTTGTTCTCTATCCATTGTATTATAGAAAAGGTATATATATATTTTTTTTTATGGTGACAAATACAACACCAGCCACCACGGGTTGACCTTTTTTGTGGATCAGATCTTTTTTTTTTGTCACACTGATCGATCTAAAAAAAATGCCAAAATTTGTTTCAACAAAAGCTATTGTCCGTAATATGGTACAACTGCGCGTTTAACATAAATGATATGTGTGAATGGTATAAAAGGTTCCGTTCAAAATTTCAAAATAAATGGTTTTGAATTCGAAATGATCAAAAAGATCAGGAAAAATAAATAAATAAATAAATAAGGACTTTTATCATCGATTTATACAATTTCTTTTTTATAAAATTTTTTTAAATTTTTTATGATGCGAACGAATATCAAATATCAAAATTATACATATAAAAAATTTATGAACGAGATATATTGGTGTCTTATTTTCGACAAATGGTTCCATCGATAACGGAATGGTTCCAAATGTGGGATGAGGTGCCGATGTCATAAAGATTTTACATTCTGGAAAGGAATTTGCTTACGTAAATGTGGTTAGTGTTGGAATTATCCAAATTAGCAAAATAGGAAAGTTAGAAAGTGACATTGTCCATCAGGAGTTTGGATTTTCAAATGTTTCAAATCATAAAGTATTGTGTATAAAAATGTATAAAATGATAAAAAATGAGCGGTGAACATATCTTTTTCTTTTCGTTTACATGCTTTTAGCGCTCTCAATTATAAATGATTAAATGAATCTTTATAAATTTTTTTACTTACTATTTCCCTTATTGAAATTTATAATATTACAAGCAGGACTTGTTGGGAGCGCTAATACATTTGATGATTCCAATGATATGTCCATTAATGATAAACATGAATTGCATAAGAACTCTACAGGTTTACCAATTCCTACCACTAGTTCTTTTGACCCGATGAACGTTGATAAATGTGCAAAATTTGGTGAAATAACAAATTGCCCACAAGAAGAACCATATTGCTTTGTGGACGGGAACATACTCGAATGCGGATTGACAAGTCGAATGGGTTGGAGAATTAGTCCTTTAGACGGGTTGATTTTGAATAATGGTCAAAATCCTAATCCAAATTGTAATTTATTTAACCCACCAGATCAACTTGGTATCAAGGAATTAATATTTAAGCTGTTGAGTGAGAGTGAGTTTGGTTTGGGGTTTAAGGATCGTGAACCCGCCGCTTGGTATAATTCATTTGATTACCTTGGAAATTGTCCTTTAAGAACTCAATTTTGCGATGAAGACCTTTTAATTTGTAAAAATTTATTCGATCCTGGAAATAAATGTAATTCGTCTAACCAATGTTTCACTCATCTTTGTGGGAAACGTGACGTGAATGTTCCTGAAGACATCACCGAAAGAATCTGTGTTGATAACACAGACTTAAATGATGAAGGGAAGGAGATTATGAAGAGATATAAATCGTTATTGATCATCGTATCACTTTCTATTGGGTTCACTATGCTCATCATAGTGGTAACAATACTCTTCATCGGTGCTTATAAGAAGAAGATTAAAATACCTGTTGATAATAGTGAACCCATTAACTCACCACTTTCATCTGACGGACCCACTAATTCACAGCCCGGATTCGTCGCAAAACATTTATCTGTTTTAAATTCAAGATTTTCGTTTTATAGATCTCGTCCTTCCTCTAAACTCACCGTCGATGGTAGAAGGGAAACATTTTCTTCCGATAATCTCTCTGTTTTATTACCTCCTCCCCCTACAATAACTAATGATGTCTCTTTATATAATAATCCCTATACTAATAACGATCATTATTCGGATAGAAATGTGTCCCAACCTCCCGTTAGAGATTCCTTCGATATTTATCTTTCCCCAAACCAGACTGTGTAAATTGTTTTACTTTTTTTTTTTTTTTTTATTTATTTATTTCTTTATTACACGATAATTCATTTTATAAATATTATTAAATGTATTAATTAAAACACGCTCGACTGAATTGTAATTTAAAAAAACTCATAGTCCATTCACGTCATTTTACAAGTAGACTAGCGAACTGGGATAGATATAATTTTTTTTTTTTTTTTTAGTATTAAAAAATCATTTCTGGTCGGGTTTAAAAAACAAAAATATCACATCACATCAATTTTTATGGCTCAGCTTTATTTTTTTTCTGCAAAAAAAAACAGGACGCAGAAATATTTTTACATCCCATCATGCAATTTATGCAATTTGCATTACGCATGATATTACTAAAAAAAGCCCTATTTAAATGAACTTCCGAAAACAGGCCCGCCGATTCCTCCATCTTGACGAGTGTAAATCTCATCATCCTTGTCTACGCCCCCAAAGAATACCATCAATACTAATTGCGACACATTTTAGGTTACCATCCCACTCGAACCAGGTTCCATTACGAAATTGAAAAATCTCGTCGTCGTCATTCACGCCGATCACGAATGACGCGTTGCCAGTGTAAATCTGTTTAAGCCTACCACAAATTTCTTCCCTATTTCGAAAAGGAAGTAAATAAGGGAAAAAGGAAGGGTAAACGAATGATAGATGATTCATACCAATACACGCCGTTCCATCTATGAACATTCCTACTTCTGCTAACACCCCATACAGTGCCATCGGAAGCTACGGAAACATTAATCAAGGATCCTGGCACTAATTTTTTAAGAATGACTCATGAACAACTTTTCTAATAAAGGTAGCAACAATGTATTTACACTTACCTTGGACCCAATCATCGTCAGATCGGTAAAAAACATTATCATAACGATCGATACCCCAAACGTTGTTCTTGTCTCCAACTAACGAAATAAATAAATGAACATTTGGTAATTAAGGAACAAGGATATCTCGTAAAAGTCACAAATTTATATAATACCGGATATTTGAATCAGTGATCCATCGACTTTTTCCCTTTTTATAATAGAGAGTTAATATCAAAGTAGGAGGAATACTAACATGATAGAAAACTTACCATGTATTATTAACTCGAGTGAAGATCTCTTCATCACGATTGACAATCCAAACTGTCCCATCACTACCGACCCCGACATTGAAAGCATTACCTTCAATTTGATGCCATTCTTTATGATGGAATTGATAAATCTATTTCAATACCAAAATGGAAATATTATTTACAGGAGAAACGACATGTGAAATATAAACGGTAGTTGCATTACATTATCTCGTGAATCGACACCCCAAACATTATTACCACGACCGACAGCCAGTTGTGTAAGTGTACCGTTGATTTTTTTCCAAGACATTTTGAAATTTTTTTTGAGGAAAAAAAAATATTTTTAATCTGGCAAGAAGCGGCGTAAATAATTAATTATTCATTAAAAAGGGGGGGGGGGGGTAATATTTTAGGGTAAACTTATTTTTGTTTTAAAGTTTTCGATCTGAGCTTATCCTTTAACTATCGATTGGTATTTATGGGACCAGATGTTAAACGGACCTAAATGCGTGGGAATTCGAGATTATGATCTTTCTCCCTGCACCTCAGCACGAGATTACGAGGTAATTGAGAATGCAGGGTTGGACTCACACTAGTCCCAAAAGACTGATTCGGACAAATTATTAAAATTGTTAAAAAACAAATCTACATATGGATAAAAAATTGAAATCACAAGTTAAAGCTACCATGAAACTTATCTAAGTGATTATAAACTGTCGCCTATGAATTTCATGAGATAATAATTAATAATGTGAAAATTCTCTCTTTGTCACTTTTTTATATGATCTTTTCTACAAATGTTTTGATGAAACCAACCTTTTAAACACGATGTTGCCTTAGCCGTCTCCTATAACCTGTTTTTTAATCGATCAAATGTTTATTCTTTTTGATTTAATACACAAATTATCCCTAGCGATTTTATCTTAAATTGGAAATCCCTGTTTATTAGTATCATATACATTACTATTATTATTGTTACATAATGTATAAAGCAAATCCAGTTAATCCTCTTTTGCAAAATGTTTTTATTTTGAATCTAAGATCATGCGATTCAATGATTAAAAAGTCCGATCCTATGATCCTGTTGATCTGTCCCAAAAATAAGACCGACTAATTGTAACAGTTAAATCAATAAAAAAAATTTTTTTTAAAAATTTTAATTTTAAAGTTTAAATCTAAAAGAATGGCAACATACGAAAAGAATCGAAAAAGAGTTGAATGATGCAAAAAGAGAGTATGAGAAGGCGGAGGTGAAGTTGAAGAAATGTGAAGAAGGAAATATAAGGAGGAGAATTTGGAGGAGTGGGAAAAAGAGTTGTTTGAGGGGAACTCGAGTAAAGCAAAGAAGACGGAGTTGGAAGGACGAATTAACAGGTTGTACAAGGAAAAAGAAGTATTGGAAACAAATGTGAACGATTGGAAAGACCAAGTGAAAGAGTGGGGAGAAGCACTAAGAAAATTTGGAGAAAAAGAAGGTAATGAACAAATTGCGTAAAAAATATACAAAAAATTATTTTCCGTTCATTCCATTTTGTTTATTTATTTGTTTGAGTGACATATATAATTTTGTTTTGAAATTTTTACTAACCTGTGTTTTTTTTTTATTTTCTTTTTCTCTATCAATAATCTATTGAAATATATATTTCTTAATGTCCATTACCTTCTATCTATTTTACATATGCATTTTTTATTCTTAACAGGAGGAAATCGTTCAATGAAAAAAGGTATACATTATTTTCAATATTTTAGTTTATTATATAATTTTATTTTTCTAACATTTTAATATCTTGTCATTCAAAAAGAAATGTCTTGATTACTATATTTTGCATTTTAGTATTATCCATCCGATATTTTCATGAATTATATATATGTATTTACAATTAATCGGTTTGTTTAACATTAATAATTCTTATAATATATATATTTATTTTTTCATCATTTTTACCCATTTATTTCCAAATATATGACAGGAATTTCTGAAACTAAATTTCAAAATTATAAGCTTGCATCAATTTTAATTGTTTTGACATTTGCATTTATCTAAGCTTATAATATCATCTATTACAGTTAGTACATTTATGGCTGATATTCTCTAGAATGTTGAAATATTCTCAAAGGAAGATTCTCAATATTTTAAAGAATGATATTATTAGTCACAATTATATGAAAATATTAGAGAATATATTCGTTCTTGTGATAGTTGTCAAAGAAGAGGCATACCAAAAAAAACATGAGGAATTACACCCTATACCAGTTCAAGCATCTTTTTATCAAATTGGTATAGATTTTGTTGGACCCTTACAAATAATATCAAATGGAAACAAATGTATTATTGTAGCTGTTGATTATTTTACCAAGTGGCCTGAAGCCAAAGCTATTTCTGAAGTTACTGCAGAACAGGTTGCTCTATTTATTTATGAAAATATAATCTGTCATCATGGATATTCTACAAAGATCCTTTCTGATAGAGGAACTTATTTCAACAATCAGATGATCAAAGAATTGATAGATAAATTCAAGATTAAACATTTATTATCAACACCTTATCATTCTCAAACAAATGGTTTAGTAGAATGATTTAATTGTACCTTGTGTGAATCTTTAGCAAAAACTGCACAAAATCTAAATAATTGGGAATTACAAATTGCATTAACTTAATTTGCATATTATACAAGCAAACATCTGTTACAAAAATATCTTCTTTTTATTTTATACATGAGAGAGATGCAATATTATTTCTAAACAATCTTGATGATCAAAATATCACATTATTAAAACATTTGTAAAATTTGATTGATCAATTATCACAAATTAGAAAAATTGCTAGAAATCGTATTGCAATTGCATAACGTAATCAAAAGAATCATTACAATAAACAAATTAATCATCTTTATCAATTTGAATTGGAGATAAAGTTCTTTATTATAATGCAACTAAAGATAAACAATGGTTTAGCAAATTAAACCCAAAATGAAAAGGATCATTTTATATCTATCAAGTTTTAATAAATGGATTTTATAAGATATAAGAAATAAATAGAAGAGTATTACATATATCTGCAATTAGAAACTTATTAAAACCTTATCATGATCATTAAAACTGAAAGCCTTAAATTATTATATAAAGGATTAAAATCCTTTAAAATTTTCACAAAATTTTTAACATAATCTTATTTTAAAAAATTAAAGATGATCTAATGACTGTTAATATTCTAACAAATACTAATATCTCTCCACTTTATATGAATAATAATTCAATTGTATAAAAAGTCAAAATAACTTACAGAGTTTTATATGAGTTACCAGGTTAAAGAATAGAGTGTTAGCTCTAATTAATATATTTTATCTAAGATAAGTAATAGAAACAGAAACTTTAGGTTTAGTTGAACGAATCCAGTATCGGAATCAAATGATCCTATACTATTAACAGACCTCTAAATGAACTTATTATCTTTTTAAAACTCTAAAAATCATACAAATTGGATATACTAAGAAAATAACTTTTAGAACAATTTATATCTCAAATCTTAGAAGTTTAAGGACTTAATTAACAAAACGTATGAAATTTTGTAAAAGCTACAAATTTAGAGAAGAAAATTAATACCATATGAAATCAATTTTACTGTATTATAAAGATTGACATATGATTAATATTATTAATACTGTTAACATTTTTAATTTATTTAACATTTTTATATTATTTATTTTTATCTTATTATTTATTTTTATTATTTATTAAATTATTACTATAATCAAATTATATTTTATTTTTTACATTTATTTTAACATTGTAAGGTCAAAAATTCATAGAAATGAAATCACGTGATATTCTAATAAATAATTAAAAACATTCAATTAAATAAAAAATTAACAGATAAATATTTAACTAAAAACTAAAATATGGAATACAGATAAATTACTTATCGAAGAAAAAGGATAAAACAATTACCAAATGTTAAATAACTTCTAAATAAAAATAAACAAAAGAAATTTCAAAAAGAAAATATGATATCATAAATTATATCATTAATAAAAGTAACAGAATGTTTAGATTAGAAATAATGGAATTAATAGAATAATTAAATTGAAAATAATAGAAATGCCAGATTAATTAAAATAAAAAAATTAGAGATATTAGAAAACAAAAATAAAAAATAATAATAATAACAGAAACTAAAAAAACATTTTACAGAAATTATGGAAATATAATAAAAAAAAATAGGAAATTACAGAAAACCTAGAAATAGAAATTAGAAAATTTTAGAAACTACAAAAATAGAAAATCAAGAAATTATAGGATTTACAGAAATGATCTACATAAATTTTATATAATTATAATAGAATTTCTTTATAAAAAAATGTAAGAAAAAGAAAAACTCTTTCTGCTAATCACTAAAAATACCCAAAAAAATTCAAAAATCTAATAACCGCGATCGCTCTGTATCTCCAGTTAAAGAAAAACTACCATTACAAAAAAGACAGAATATCACTCAAACAACTTAACAAGAAGCTGTCGCTGAAAGTTATAATATTGCCAACCTCCTATTATTACTATGAAAGTTAACCAAACACCCGATTCTACACCTTTGCTTCTTGATAAAGGAAAAACTAAAGAACTGATACAGTTATTGGAACTACAACCAACAATAAAATAGATAAAATGAATGTTAACAGTCCTTCTGATGTGTCTAAAAATATCATTGACACTAACATAGTAGCTTTTGCTATGCCACTCCTTAATGCTAAAAAATTTTTCACGTATTTTTTGCTCAAAAAATACTCTAGAGCTAACCTCCAACAGAAGATTACTAGAATCACAAACAAATATTGTTTCAACTATGCTTCCTTTGCTGAGTCACACGTGAAAAATTTCCTCATAATCCTTTAATCAACATTCTCAAGATTGCCTTTTTAGACTCTAACGAACGTAACGATCTTTGTAAAATGCAGATTCCTAATACAGATAAAACCACATTTTTACCTTGATTATATAAAAATTGCATCCTTTCACATCTGTACAATCGATCACAGTAACTGATATCCTGTTAGATTTTATAGTTACATAAATAAAATTTTTTTCCCATTACAGTAACATTGTATGTTACACTATGAAAATTAGAAACTTATAGCAATGCGCTACTATCACATTTAACAATACAGCCAAATTTGACCTTCTTCAAGTATTTGATGAATTGCTTATTATTAACAACTCTGTTCATATTTATATATATGATCAGAATAGAAAAGAAATTCAAGATTATTTTAAATTCTCAAAAAAACTAACTAATCTTTCACAAGAAACCACAGTACA